AGTCTCTCTGAGAGCAGCTCGGAAGAGAGGGGCGGGGTCAGCAGAGCTCATTAACATTTAAAGGGAAATGCTACAAAAACGGCTTGATCTGAAAAGAGCTGTAAAAAAGGTGTTTTTACACTACCATTGAGAAATGTTAACCAAACTATGTTACAGACTTTTCATTAAGACCCTAAAGAATCATATCAACTTGTGGAAAATGGGCATCCGATGACCCCTTTAAATCTATTGGAATTCCATGCATATATAATGACACATGGTAATTATAATTACCATAGTGTTTATTAAAATACCACGGTATTGCCATAAGAAAGCATTTCTGTTGTGGTAGCTTTTACATTACTAAAAATTTAACCATGTAATAACATATGGCAACTGTGGTAATCATTCATTACCATAGCATTCATCAAAATACCATGGTAATACCATTCAAAACGATCCGCATTTACATTTACCATGACATGTTTGAAATGATAATGATTGAAACCATGTAAATGATATAGATCAAGAATACAGACCATCATAATAGAGTTTTTTTTTTATTATTATTGTTAAAGTGCTGTATGTAGGATTGACAACTAGTGGTTGAACTAGGTATTGCAGTCCAAATTCAAAATATTGGAGAGGGTTTTTTTCATCCGGCCCCTCCTCCTCAGACTTGACGCACACGCAAGTTGCCAGATTGACGACACCAACAGGAACGAGCACACTTGACGATGAATGAAATGAAATACGCAGTTTTTTCCGCCAACTGGCAACCCGGGGTGCCGAAATACAATTGGGTAAACTGGTTTCACTAACCAAAACAGAGACCGACATTCCGGCCCGGAACGCACATTTTCAAAGGAGAATAACTGACTGTAGCATTGTTTTTCAGATAAACAAGTATGTTAAGTTAGCATGTTTCTTAAATATCTGCAAACATATTATGATATTTTTATGCTTTAGTAGAGTCAAAAACTTACATACAGCACCTTTAACTTCTTCTTGCTGTTGTTGTATGCTGTGGATGTGTTTGCAGTGGTACCACTGCTGTCCAGACATGCTCGGAGAACAGGTTCGCTCTCAGTTCGTTCAGAGTCATCTGGATGAGGACACGAAGGCTTTCCTCCGCCGAAGCATGGAGAAATCCGGCTGGCTCTTCACGCAGCTCTACCACTCGCTCTTCTCCACCATCCTCAGCCCCGTCATGTCTCGAACCTCCATCAACGGGTAAGCACCCCTGACTCTCTCGCAGGCTTCAGCGCTGCTTCTGATGAGCGGCTCCTCATGGCCTCCTGTCCTGTCGGTCCGCAGCTTTCTGGGCCGCGGCTCCATGTTTGTGTTCTCGAAGGACCAGTTTCAGAGTCTTCTCCGGATCGAGCCGGAATGGAAAGGGCAGAGGATGCTGGATCTGGGAGCCGGTGACGGAGGTGTGACAGAAGTGATGGGCCGTCACTTTCATGAGGTGTTTGCCACCGAAGTCTCCACGCCGATGAAGTGGCATCTCCAGAGAAAGAATTACAGGTACTCACACCTCCTGCATTAGTAGAAGTCAGGGATGCACCGAATGTTCACAACCGAAATTATTCGGCCGAAAATGGCAAAAAAAAAAAAACACTTTCGGTTTGACCGAATAATTGAAAAGATTGAATAAATTGTACCGAACAATGACGGGACGCGAGGAAAATCTGCTCTGAAACTATTTTTACAAGACATGTGACAATGCGATATGTGCGACAAACATCTTCCGAAAATCATAATGAGAATCATTCATAAATCTGCTGCTGTCAACAAAAAGAAGTCTTCCTGCGGGTTTCCACCAAAATGAAAGCTCCAACAATATTCATAAATGTTAGTATTGTAATTTTACTGTTGTTCTGTAAAATAAACTAAAAAAGTAAGACAATAATAATAATTACAACAGCTCTATTTATACATTTATTATAACATTAACACATAGTGTTCAAATTGGGATCTGTAATATTTTCTAGGCTGCATTTATTTGTACAATAAAAAAAATAAAAATGCCTGATTCAAGAATGGGGTCTCAAAAATGGCCAAAAATATAATTTTGCTAACTAATTTTAAGTTAAATTATGCTTTGTTATGGATGATATCTGGTAGAATGTTAAAAAATGTTCAGTATTTTTAAATGGTTGTTTTGTAATTATTATTTTTTTCTTTGTAAAGCAAGACAAAACCGTATGAAGCACATTTTGGCTATTTCATTTATGTAATGGTGAAAACATTTGAAAAATACATGGGGGAAAAAAACGTGAAAAACCGTCTTCGGCCCAGTGTTTCATTTTGTTTGGTTTCAGCTTCAGCCAAGAATTTTCATTTGGGTGCATCCCTAGTAGAAATGCTAATGAACTGAGATGATTCAACTGAGCCTGTGCTTGACTTTGAATCTCCAGCTTGCTGGGACTCGATGAGTGGCACCGAACGGGCTTCCAGTACGATCTGATCAGCTGTCTGAACCTGCTGGACCGCTGCGACGAGCCGCTGCAGCTGCTGCAGGACATCAGGAGATCGCTGGTGCCGCACACGGGACGCCTCGTCTTAGCGGCTGTGCTGCCCTTTCAGCCGTATGTAGAGACGGGTAAGACGATCGCTGCAACCACAACTACTGAGCAATTCATGAGTGGCTGCTGCTAGCTGCTTTATTATAGATTAGCACACTTGCAGAGCTAACATCTTGTAAGAGGAAATGCTCAAGATCTGATTTGTCAGTGAAATCAGTATTTCATGTTTTATTTATTTTTACTTTTCATGTTTTCTTTGTTTACATCTAATTTTTATTATTAAATATTAATTAATTAATTTATTTATTTATAGTGTTGCCAGCTTAACACACCATATTTTGTCTATTGTAATTTATTAAAATTTAATGTGTTTATTAAAAAATGAATTCCGTTATTAAAATGCATTACACACAATAAAACTCATCATTTTAATTCAGAAATAATTAAAATGTTGATTTTTTTTTTAAGAAATCGATTTAGATTTTTTTCACAAGTATTTTGGTACGATCTTTTATTATTATTTCTTATAAAGCAAAATGGTTAACTTTTGTTAAAATATTATTCATGTTGGAAAAACCTTTGTGCAGCAGATTTAAGTCATGTGATGATTGAAGTCAACCAACATGCAGAATAAAACTATAAAATGGGAAATTATCTGATAGAGAACCCTTTATTTGATTAAGAATGAGTAATTATTCTAAAAAGAATAAGTACTTATTTAATTCATAATTATGAATAATTGCATGAATAAGGAAAAAAATGAATAATTAATAAATGTAATAATTATATTACTACATTATATTGAGAAAAAATATATTATAATTACATGTATATTTTATATTGCTTACCTTTTATATATTGATTAATATGTGCACATTTGTACCTTAATTCACTGTATGTGGGAATGTGACAAAATAAAAGAGTTTTGGAAAGAAATAAAAAATATATTATAATTACATGTATATTTTATATTGCTTACCTTTTTTATATTGATTAATATGTGCACATTTGTACCTTAATTCACTGTATGTGGGAATGTGACAAAATAAAAGAGTTTTGGAAAGAAATTATAAATATGATAGAGCATATGGTTTCGATAAGATTACCATTAGATTTCATTCTTGGCATTCATCCAGAAAATTGGAATATTAAAAAGGATAATCAAGTATTGATAGATATGTGCATTTTACATGGCAAAAGGTTCATTGCCATTTATTGGAAAAAGACAGAAAGGCCTACCGTAACTCATTGGTTAAGAGAAATATCTTCATGCATTGCAATGGAAAAGATAACCTATATGCTTAAGGGTAAACAAGCTAAATTTAAGAAAATCCGGAGTCCATTTTTATTATTTATTGAATGTAGGGATATTAACAATATAATAGAGGATCAAAATTCTTGATTGGGTATTTAAATATATTTTAATGTGCATTATATTAACCCCTTACAACTGCGGTTGTTATTGTTTGCAATGGATTATTAAATCTAACTTCCAAAGTACAGACTGTATTAACCCTTTGTTGGTTTTGTGCTTTACACTTTTTATGTAATATGAGCCCCTAGTGTTTGTTTGTTTGTTTTCTTTTCTTTTCTGTACATCGTAAGTATTGTTACAGACACGGTATGAACATGTTTCAGTCTTGTGTTTCAAGAAAATGTAATAAAAATAATATTACAAAAAAAAATATGTGCACATTTACGTGTATGCAGGGTGTAAGAAAAATATGTATTCAGTTGTAACTTATTAAACCATTTTTCAAACTATGTGTTTTCAACATGATTTTAAAAGATTTTCTTTTTTTTTGCTATGCATTCGTATTTCTTGTTTAATTTGTGACTACTTTTTCCACTTATTCTGTTGTGTTTTAAGGTGGGACCTGGGTGCGACCCAAGGAACACATCAAGGTGCAGGGCAAGACGTGGGAGGAGCAGGTGACTCACCTGAGCACAGACGTGTTCCTGAAGGTGGGGCTCAAGGTGGAGGCCGTCACTCGCCTGCCGTATCTGTGTGAAGGAGACATGTACAAGGACTACTACATGCTGGATGACGCCGTCTTCGTGCTGAAACCTCAGGAATGAACTTTTGGCGGAAATGAAAGGGCTTCGTTTAAGATGAATGATGTTTCTTGTCTGTGTTACGTCTCAGGAAAATGAAATCTTTGAGAAACAAATGATTATATCTTATTGCAACTAATGAACAGTGCAGTAATTGTACTACAAGTGTAGTACAGCTGGTGTGAGGTGTTCCCTGTGGGGAAAAAAAAAAAAAAAAAGATCATATCTAATAGAGAGAGGTAGCTATTAAACTCGAAATCTCCTTCTGTGCCTCCCCTTATGTTTTCCGCATTTGTAGTGAATTTCTCACGTGATGTACGAGTTGTCAGAAACATCTTAGGACCAATGTAAGAGCATTTTTGTTCTTAATGAACAAGTAAAATGATACTGTGCACAACACAAAACATCTCAACATACATGTATGTAGATAATCGTTAATTACGGGATGTGATGTTCTGTTTGTAGACATATTTTTAATGTTGTAAATCAAGTATTGTCCTGTATTGAATATGCTTACTGTGCAATAAATCTACGTTTGTGCTCAGTGCTTGGTTTCAGCTTTCGTTAATATTGACCGTATACATGATGATGAGATAAGCAGAGCTTTTAGTTGATCTTCTATATGTTAATAAGACAAATTAACCTATTAAAATGCAAGAGGAAAGCTAATTTTAAAAAAGCTATTTATAGCGAGAGAGATTATTCAGCTTTCAAAAATGTATTATAAAAACCTTTTTAATGGATTTAAAACATTTTTTTTTAATGCTAAACAAGCCGGTATTTCATATGCATCTGGATTGATCCTGGACTCAAATGATCTAGTATACATTCATAAAAACAATGGGGTTACAAATAAAATAAACTGCATTATGCTGGAAATGAGAAGTGACAGAGAAACACATTTCTGGCAAAGCAATGGAGTGTATGCGCGCGCGTATGTAATATATTTTTCGTTTGATTTAGGTGTGTTTGAATAGATTTAGAGCAGGATCCAGCAAACTTTCCCACACACCCTTCCCAGGCCAAAAAAAAAACGAGAGGGAAAGAAATCGACACGACAGGAGAGTCCAAACAGGCGGGGCTTACTAAAAAGACTCCTGTTGTCACGTGCCATTTGTTACTTTTCTCCACGTGGATCAGAGCGGATCAATCACAGTCGACTCCGATTACTGCCTAATAATTTTATTTTATATTAATGTATTATGCTGATTCGCAGTTACCATTCAAATGCTGGAAATCATCTAATGTTTTTTTTTGTATTAGTCCACTAATACAAAAACCATCGTGAGATTTAAGTGGGGTTTAACCTTTAAAAACTTACATCTATGAATAAAGTGTTTGCACAAAATAAGTTATAGGTTCTTATCCTTCAACAATACTTTAATTGAGTCAAAGGGTGTATTGATGTTTGGAATGAAGCCAGTTTTGAAATTCAAGCCCAAAATTCTGTACAAGTTCACAATGGAAAAACATATTTGACCCTGGACCACAAAACCAGTCATTGAAATTGAGATTTATACAATGACAGTTTTATACAATTTTATAGAGATTTTAACTATTTGAAAATCTGAAATCTGAGGGTGCAAAAAAAAAATCAAAATATTGAGAAAACTGCCTTTAAAATGCCCTTAAATTTGATATATTTATGGTAGGAAATCAACAAAATATTTTCATGGAACATGATCTTTCCTTATTATCCCAATGATTTTTGGCATAAAAGAAAAATCTATCATTTTGACCCACACAGTGTATTGTTGGCTATTGCTACAAATATACCCCAGCGACTTAAAGGGTACAAAAATTTGATGTTTATCTGCTTACCCCCAGGGCAGCCAAGATGTAGGTGACTTTGTTTCTTCAGTAGAACACAAATTATGATTTTTAAGTCCAGCCGTTGCAGTCTGTCAGTCGTATAATGCATGGCAATGGTAACAAAATCTATGAGAGTAAAAAAAACATGCACAGACAAATCCAAATTAAACCCTGCGGCTCGTGATGACACATTGATGTCCTAAGACACGAAACGATCGGTTTGTGCCAGAAACCGAACAGTATTTATATCATTTTTTACCTCTTATACACCACTATGTCCAACTGTCTTTGGGCGCGCGCACGGCATCCGGTGCGTGAGGTGTGTACGCGCTCAATTTTTGGGTGAACTATCCCTTTAAGACTGCTTTTGTGCTCCAGGGTCACATATGCTCTGCTGCCCAGTATCCCTTCTAGCCTTAACCGGTTCTCGGAGCCTCCGTGCGCCTCTAGAGGAAAACAAACGTGTGTGCAATCGATATATTACCTATCCAGCGATATTCTCCTCCCAATGACGAACTCCGAGCATCATCCTGAGGCTCAGCCAACCCGCTGTCAGGCGCCACGTCGCGCTGGCCTCGCCATCTTTCAGTCGGGAAAGCCGTGTTTATAGCGCGCTGCAGGTGAAGATCCGCACTCGAGCCGCTTCACGCATTCATCTCAACGAACCCTTCATCACATCCAAAGAAACATGAACGTATTCAGACTGACGGGGGACCTCTCCCATTTAGCAGCCATCATCATCCTCCTGCTGAAGATATGGAAAAGCAGGTCGTGTGCAGGTGAGCAACGCAGCGATTTTAGCAGAAAACGCGCACTGTGCACTTTTTAGGGCTGTTTTTTGAGTGTGCGAACTTCGCATTTGGTCAAAGTCTGTTTGTGTGATTTGTTTATGTGGCAGCTGATCCACTCGTTTGTGATGTGAACTCGAGCACTAGGCCTCGTTTGAGTGAGTTAGACTGAATAAGCAAGTGTTGGTGTTTAATGACAGTTGTTTGGGTTTTAATGCATGTATGTGCGATGCAATGCTCTTGAATAACTGATGTTTCGTTTTCGAGTAAGTTGCATTGAGTTGCATGGCGTATAAATCAAAAGCAACAGTGATTTGAACCAGCTGAATGTTAACTTTGGAGTTTTGCTCTATTTAGGTTATCAGGCTGTAGATAACTAGTGACTTCATTCATTCATCCTGATTGCATGCTCTGACCTCTGACGTGGCAGCAGGATCTTATTAGAATATTATTTATTTGACACTGACAGTCACTGTAGGGGTCTCTGGGTTTATTGCAACGTTGTTTTGTGATCTTATTGTACAAGAACTCTTCACTTCTGCATGCTTTAGTGATGTTGTAACAGCCTTATTCATGTTAATGTCTTACAAAACAAACTGAAAGTGTGAAATGGGGTTCAGATCGCATTAAGGACAATGAATTGTTGAAATTGATGTTGTTGCTGTGTGTTTTTCAGGAATATCTGGGAAGAGTCAGATTCTGTTCGCCTTGGTGTTCACCACTCGCTATCTGGACCTTCTCATGTCCTTCATTTCTTTGTACAACACCACCATGAAGGTGAAGCAGAGCAGATTAAAGTTCTAAACATGCACTTATTCATGCCTTTTTCACAAACCTAACAGACCTGTCATATTTGATATATGTTGAATTTATGTGCTATATAAAAAAAAAAAGTGAGAAATCAAATAAAAGGGCCAATCAGAGTTTGTTTACTCTAGAATATGAATGTGCATGAAGTTGACCTTGTGTTTTTTTTTAATGTGATTTGCGCTGAAATTATTTTCAGTGGTCAGAACAGAAACAGCAAGTGTAATTTGTTTTTAATTAAAAGAAGGTACTATATTTTGTTTCTGTAATATTTATTCTTTAATATTTTGTGTTATTAGAGGGCTTTTCATGGTGTCAGACCATTTTGATCTCTAAATTATGCATGAATTATTTTGATATAACAGTGCAAATATTATTAAAAAATATATCATTATATTCTATTAACACAGTGTTTATGTTAAAAATAGAGCAACACTTTTTTTAAAAATCTAATGCATGGTGCGTGTGTGTATATATGTATATATAATATACTGTATATCATTTAATTTATAATTTTTTATATATATATATTTCAGACATAATTTTTAGATATCATGACTGAGTTGTAGATTGTACCACAAAAAAAAAAGCTTTATATTTTTAATTTCCATGGTGGTCATTTTTGACTGCAAAGTTTAAAAGTGTACTTTTAAACTTTGTGACTTTTTTTTGTAACACTGTTTTGTTGCATGTTCCCATGCAGGTCATCTATATCGCATGTGCCTATGCCACGGTTTACCTGATATACGTGAAGTTCAAGGCCACGTATGATGGAAACCACGACACGTTCAGAGCGGAGTTCCTGGTCGTTCCAGTCGGCGGCCTGGCCTTCCTCGTCAACCACGACTTCTCTCCTTTGGAGGTGAGAGCAAATCCGTTCCTGCATTCATTCACCTTTTAAGTTTGAATAATAGTCTAATAGTCGACTAACGGTTAGTCAACCAGAAGAGGCTTGGTCGACCAAAATTGCATTAGTTGCCTAGTCGCAGAAAAAAAATCAAAATCAAAAATCCACATGAAGTGGTGAAGTCACGCTTTCCGTGACGGACAGATCGTTAACGGCTGGTCTGTGTGGTAAAACTACTCGGGCAGGACATCCAAACGCTCGCCTATCATCCATTGACCTCAAATATGACTTATCATCTGAAATGTGTTAGTAGCTGCAACTTTACATGGCTGCTCAATCTAATGTTAACCTAGAGAATGTGCGCTATTGAAGCTGTGGAAGCTGAAAAATAGCGCGCTCGCTGCATGACAGATGGAGGCGGTCACTTGCTCTTAAAATACTCCATCATTTTTGCTCATACAGATAAGAGTAATCTGTAAAGACTCTGTTTATCTGTGGTGCACTCACAATAACAACAAAACATTGTGCTTTTGTAAAATAATGAACGTAAACAGGATGCGCTTTCTGCCATCACGGTCTCTGAACTAGGCTTGCTGTGATAGACGGTGTTTTCGGTTATACCGGTGTTAAGCCGCAACACCGGTTACGTCATTTGCTTTCCGGAGTTAAGCCGCAACACCGGTTACATCATTTGACTACCGCGGCACCGCCCCCCACCGTTGTTTTGTTTTTTTTAGAGTAACAAAAATAATTTAGCCTAGTTCAGTTAGAGGACGGCACTTTTAAAAACTAAACGCTCAATGCAGCGTGCCAAACCCTGCGCGAGTGACAGTGCACCACGGAGCAGGAGTCAGATTTTATTTATCACGTGAGGAGAGTGAGTCGAGCTGACTGACAAGAGTGAGGAGAGAAAGACAAGACGATGGCAGAAGATTGTTTAGAAAGGAAATGCAAAGGCCTGTTTGACAATATTTTAGATTTCGAAAAGCCTATTGACTGGAAGTTTTTTTTAAACATTCGTTTCTTATTTATTTGGTTCCACAGTGTTTGCTGATTACTTTATTTAAACTTTGTGTATTTTATTTATTTTATTTTACATCAAGGTGTATATGCCGTGCCTCCAAGTTTTCTTATTCGTCTTGCTAATAAACGTTCTATGTTTCTTATTTATTTGGTTCCACAGTGTTTGCTGATTTTCAGTTTTATATACCTATTTAAACTTTGTGTAGCCTAAGAAATTTGTTATTTTATTAGGCATAGGCCTATATGGTGTATTTATACCGCTTGAATTGAATCAATGCTGAATTGCCCCTAATTTTAAAGTGCAAGTAAAATGTGCACAGTGCTTTTTCAAGCTATTTGAAAGCCAAGAAATCAGAGGAAAAGAGGGAAAAACTCAAACGAGCAATTGCTTGACGCCGAATTGTGGCAATTCTATTGCCACTCATTTGAAAGTGAAAGTAAAATGCGCACGGCACTTTTACAAGCCATTTGAAAGCGAAGAATAGAGGGAAACTCAAACGAACTAACGCCCCCACCCCCCACCACCCCAACGGTGATACCGGTATTACCGGTGTTGTCACTCGTCGATTAACCGGTGGGAAAATTTCCTCACCGTCACAACCCTACTGTGAACCTGAGCACGTCACTTCGAAACTCTTTGTATACGTGCCTTACAGACATGAAAAATATATCTATAAACAGTGAAATGTCTACTTTTCAATTGAACCAAGTCAAATGGAAAACAAATATTCTCAGATTATGTAATGCATACAGAGCGCATCCACTACTGCGGAGATGACGAGTCCGTGTCGCTGATTTAATCTCTAAAGCCGAAAACAAAGTTTATCAATAAATTATTAAAATGTTAATGCATCCTCCTTACTGTTTTATCATCATCATTACTTGCTGTGGCAAGCTTTATGCGTGCGCTTGAGCGCTTATCAGGCTGTATATGCATACTAGGCAAACAAAAGCTCATTATTATGATTTAAATGGTTTATTAGCAAACGTGCGATTAGTCGACTAATGCTTAAAATGAACGACTGCTAGTCGACCAGAAAAATCCTTAGTCGAGGGCAGCCCTACAAGTTTGTCTCAAGTTTATCCATTTATATTCTCATCATCTCCTCATTGTAGATCATGTGGACGTTCTCCATCTACCTGGAGTCCGTGTCCATCCTCCCACAACTGTTCATGATCAGCAAGACCGGAGAAGCCGAGACCATCACCACTCACTACCTGTTCTTCCTCGGCCTCTATCGCGCCCTGTATCTCATCAACTGGATCTGGCGCTTCTACTTCGAAGGCTTCTTCGACATGATCGCCATCGTGGCAGGCATCGTTCAGACAATCCTGTACTGCGATTTCTTTTATCTCTACGTAACAAAAGGTGAGTGTTTTGGGTTTAAAAACCCTCAGGTGTGTTCTTTGTTCAGGCTCAGAATGCACCTGCTAGTGTAAATGGTTTTGAAATACAGGTACAGCAGTGATCAATCCTGCAAACATAATAATAACTCAAGGTACTCGATTAATCTGTCAGGTACTTAAGTTAACAAAATGACCGAAATGCCCATCCTTGTTTTGAAAATGCATCTTTTAGTTCAGTGGTTCTCAGCAAACATCCATCAGGAATTATTCAATCATTTAATTGAATTAGTAGTAGTAGTAGCTAAAATACTAGAGGAAATCGTAGCCAATATTGTCTTTAAGTATTGCTTTAGAGTAAAAAGGACTGAGAACTAGTGTCTTAGATTTTGCATATATGTATGACTTATTGCTTTTTAATCAGGAAAAATAAAATGGGTTTAAGTGTTTTAAACTGCAATTGATTGTGAAATCAATGTGACTACTACTAGTTTAGCAATGATCAAACATCACTGTAATCAGTAAAGGAACACCCATCTCAGGCTTGATTGTTTTAATACAGTGGTGTAGATCATGCACAGCACATTCGGCCCGTAAGTGCATCATCGCAAACTCTCATCCTGCCTACTTGCAACAGTATATCATCGTTGTAGTTTAGGGTTTAATTGTTTGGCTGTATTGATTCCAGTGGGCTCTTAACGACATGCTTATCAGGATCTAAACAAATGCTTTGTGGCTGTCTTAATAAATGGTGTTCTGATCTGATCGTTGGAAGCTGCTCAAGTGTTTCTTTTCATTATTTCAGTGTTGAAAGGAAAGAAGCTGAGTCTGCCAGCTTAAGTCTGAAAGAGTGCGGCGCACGGGACGCAGAGGACGAGTAAGATGCCTGAGACGGAGTACGAAAGAAGAGATCCAGTCCTGTTCACATCAGGTGCTCTGGAACAGCTCTGGATTCAAGATTCAGAACCACGACTTCAACCAAGTCTTCGGATTCCTGTTTTATGCATCTTGTCTTACCCTTTTTTATTATTCTGTATCAAAGAAAAAGTTTTCTACATGAAGCGTGTGCTATGATTTGACCGACGGCATCATAAACGAGCTGAACGTTGCCTCGGTGCTAACAGGCAGGGACTGATTCTTATGATGAATATTGATTTTGTTTGTAAGAGTATTTTCAATCTGATTAAATGTACGTTTTCAAAAAGATTATGGGAGTATTTGTAGCTCCATGGGGTAAAATTGAAAAAAAAAAAAAAAATGTTTTTGCTCAAATTCTTATTGCAATAATCCTATTTTAAAAAAAGTCGGTCATAATATAGTGGTTCCCCAAACCTCTCGTTTCAAATGGTGCAATCTCAAAGTTTGCAAGATGGAAATTTCAAATTTGTACTTAAAAAGCTGAACTGTTGGGAACCAACGTCTGTCAGCGTACAGTATTGACACTGCCTTTATCACTGTAAATGGCTTCATAAAGAACCAAAAATAAATTGTACAAATGTTCTCACAGATTTTTATGCAGTTTATTTTTAGGATTTTTTTTTTTTTTTTTTTACAATTATTTTTCTGAAAATTCACCTGCAGTTTGATTGCTTTAAAATTGTTTTTTTTTTTTATTGATGTAAAATATGGTGCAATATGCTGGAATGTGAACTCATGGACAGATATTGATCTTGAATTGTTCCTAAATCACTTTTTCAGCAGAAAGTCTTTATTGCCCATACTATATTAATATCAACACCTGTATTGTTCATTTTATTTCTGGCCAATATGATCAGACTTTTAATATACACCTTTTTTTAATCACAATAATTACCACAGCCAGGTTTTAGATTTGCTTTGAATCAAGCTTTTGCATGGTGGCACAACCTAAAATAAAGATTTTATGGGAAACGTCGCTTGTTTTGAAAATGTAATGCACAAATCATTTTTGACCACCACACGACTCAAGAAGCCACGTAGCATTAACATAAAAACCAGAAGCTTTTAAATATCAAAGCAAGAATCTTGTCCTGTGACATTAGGTGTGTTTACATGGAGCATTGTAATCGGTTTAAAAGTCCAATCCGAATGAAAATGCTCCATATAAGCACCTCAATCGGAATAAAAGTGCCCAAACCAAATAAAATTGTAATCGGTTTGAGAGGGGTAGGATAAACCTTTCTATAAACCGAACAAAATTAAAATTCTGCCATGTAAACGCGTTAAACCGATTACTTTGCATCTTACATCACGTCAAGAGGTCTGAGTCGTCAAAATGGGAACGTGATGTCGGTATACATTTATTTTATTTATAATCCATATATATATATATACAGTGATGGGGAAAGTTACTTTTAAAAGTAATGCATTACAATATTGCGTTACTCCATAAAAAGTAACTAATTACGTTACTTAGTTACTTTTTAAGGCAGGAGAGCTGTCAGTAAATAAATTGGAAGAAAAAGTAACGCGTTACTTATTTGAAAAAGTAACTCCGATATTCTCTTGTAAATTAAAAAGTAATGCGTTACTTTACTAGTTACTTGTGTGTGTATATATATATATATATATATATATATATATATATTGTATTAATGAGATGAATGTATGTTCTGAATTACTTACTTTTCAATAAACATAAATAAATTTAGAATGGATGTTTAAAACCGTTACATAATAAACTACATTTTGCTTTATAGTAACGCAATTAACAAACTGTTCGAAATAACCGAGTCACTGAAATTACTTGAATTCCACACGGAACTATTTAGCTCCCGGAACTTCTTCTGACGGAGTCGGACACATTTCGTTGCTACACAGAACAGAAAAACAAAGCGAGCAGGGCAGAGATGTTTCTTCATGTCAGACGTCAGTGAAAGAGGCGTTAATTACCCACATGTCGCAATATCAAGATCCGAGGAGCAGTTACAGGCTGGCAGAGTAATGGGGTTTTGTAATGCTCGCTGTCATACATTGATGATCGCGACAGGAAATCTGGGTTGAATTTGAGAAGATCACCATCAGAGAGCGGTCAGGATGCCCGGGATGGTGGTGCTTGGACGCCGATGGCGGATCGCCAGCGATGATCTTGTGTTTCCTGGTGCCTTCGAGTTATTTATCAGAGCTGTGTGGTAAGACACTCAAAACAGCGATCTTCTGAGCTTCCTACACGAGTAGGAATAGTATACACACCATGGTACTTAAACAGAAATACCACACTTACTCTCTTACTGTGGGGGTGATAAGATATTCACAACTACATGCCCATAAATATATGTCAATACCATACTAATGTTCTAATATTTGTACTATGCAGTACTTTTGTGTGTTAAGTGCTCATACACTGAACAAAATTATAAACGCAACACTTTTGTTTTTGCCATTTTTGTTCAGTGTAGGTACTTGAATGACACTCAAACCTCTTGTCATCTCTTGTCTCTTAGGTGGATTGTGACTTTAGTTCTGTACACCAACCATAAGGGACGATTTGACTGTCAAGGTGGTGCATATCTGCATAATTACCTCGTAGTTCTTCTCGTTCTTTTGGCTGTCATTATTTTGACACTTTGTGCAATCGTTTACATCAGTGCTCAAGGTAAGTGAGCGAGCGGACGCATGCTGTGGTTTCTTCACATCTGGAGGGTTTGTCAGTGTAACGCTGCTGTGATTTGGTTTAGGAACCATCATGAATCCCGGTCCTCGGCGCTCTATGCCAGCTCTGGTGTATCTGCGGGCCCTCTTGTACTTCCCTGAGTTCATATGGGCCTGTCTGGGGGCCGTTTGGGTGTCTGACAACAGCACAGGGTGTAAGCCGGCGGAGGTCGGGGCTGTGATTGGAGCTGTGGTTTCCAGGTAAGGAAAAAAAAATCCTTTTGCGAGATATTAATACTTTAATTCAGCAAGGATGCATCAAATTAAGCAAAAGTGACAGTTGACATTTATAATGTTACAAAAAATGCTGTTGTGTTGAACTTTCTATTCGTCAAAGAATCCTGAAAAATAAAATGCATCACAGTTTCCACAAAAACATTGGGCAGCACAACTGTTTTCAACATTGATAATAATCAGAAATGTTTCTTGAGCAGCAAATCAGCATATTAGAATGATTTCTGAAGATCATGTGACACTGAAGACTGGAGTAATGATGCTGAAAATACAGCTTTGATCACAGAAATAAATTACATTTTAACAGATATTCACATAGAAAACAGATATTTTAAAATGTAATATTTCAAATTTTTGATCAAATAAGTGCAGCCTTGATGAGCAGAGGAGACTTCAAAAACATAAAAAAATCTTGCAAACAGTAGTGCATGTTTACAAAATTAGTTGAATTACTTGTACCATGTTTTCATAGACATTTTTCTAAACACGTGGATTTGTCCTGTCCTCATGCAAATTGTGATTAAAACAAAATACAGGCACATAAAAGCTAGTATTCTCTCTTTGTTTTTATATAATACATTTATTGTTTATTATTAAATAGGCTTGTGTCTCAGCCCTGTTGCAGTTGCATGTGTTTCCTTCCACTTTTAAAGTACTGATCTATTCCCTAAATCAAAACAACTTTGTCATAGTAGCATCATTGTCCTTTCAAAATAAGGGATAAGTTAATTTCTCAAGTTAACTCTGTTATTTTTAGAATGGATGATTTAGTTATGATAATGATAACTGAAAACTGAATAAAGCATTAAATGCTCTTTCTAATTGGCACCTTGGGGTTTCTAGACCTACAGCACGAGCTTATAAAGTCAGATTATACTATAAAACTGTCAGTCTTTCAAAATGCAAAATGATATCCCAAAATGTATTCAAATGAATTCATCTTACCTTGAGATGACACAATGAACACTTGTGTGATTGAATGTATTTACTGGAAGCTGGCATGGAATGACTCATAGATTGATTGTACGCTTAGATAATCATACAAAGCCAATGTTTCTGCAGGATAAAGTGTTTAGCTTGTAAAGCGCTGTGTGTGTGTGTGTCCTCAGCTGGATCATCCTCCTGTCTATGGTGGTGGGTGTGCTGGTTGTGTTCGATCCTCTGGGCAGTCAGAGGCCGGGTGTTCTGCCAGACGCTCCGCTGGGTATGAGGGATCTGGAGAGCAGCGAGTCGTCTCAGCTCTTTTACACGGCGCACACGGTGGCGTCGCGGGTGTGGGAGAGCCGTCTGCGTCTGCTGTGCTGCTGCCTGCCGCAGGACGACAACCACCGCGCCGCCTTCTCCAGCATCGCCCAGCTCGTCAGCGGCTTCTTCCTGGTCCGTTGTCTTTACCACAGAACGAGTGCATTACACTGAAAAGTCACATAAATATCTCCTTAGGCCCGGCACCAGCATCAAATCACTTAGGGTGCTTCTTAAATTAGTGAGAGTGCTCTAACTAATATATATATATATGTCCGCATCAAAAGAAATTTACAAAAGTGATTATATGTCCATAGAAAGCACATTAAATGTAAGTAAAGTGTCTACTTTTAAGGTTTCAAATAAGATTTTGGAGAATAAAATGTTAAAATTTGGTTGAAATAATGTCACATTGTCATTCAGTGTAACACAATATTTATGTAAAAATTCAAACAACATGCTTATTCTGACGTGTACATATTAAAATATATAAAA